AACAAAGTTTTAATAATAGTTTATATATACTGTATATATATATTTTTTGAGTACCTGTAGCCAGGCTAGATTGTTAGTTTATTAATCAATTGAAAACATAAGTCCTTTTTATTCAAGCAGTATAATACATACTACAGCTAAACTATTATTCTAATCTAATTAACTTGTTGTAAGTATAAAAGCCTCTAAGTTCAGCCTTGAGGACAATATTTCACTCCGTAGTGTCTTTGGGTAAAAACTCTCCTAGTTTACTACATTATTGCCAGTAGGTTGTCATTGCCATATGTCTAATCAAGCCATTGGAATACAGGAAACCACAAAAGGATAGGTTAAAAAAAAAAGATGATGATATCTAAAAATGTTTAAGCAGACAACAAGAAAATAAAAGAATAAAATTTGAAAAAAATATTTTCAGCTTCCTTCAAAGACCTGCTTCTTAAGACCTCTTCTCAATAAGAAATATCTGATTAGAATATTTTTTCTTTTTCAGAATGTCTGAAAAAACTTATCCATTTTTAATTTTAATTTCCTTTTTGTGTACTGTCTGAGGAGTCTTATCACCTAGTGGGAGCCTTTACTTCTAGGACACACTTGATCCCAATCTTCTTTGGACAATGATTTTTTATCCACCTGTAATAGAAAAATAAATTATGATAAACTCCAAGTTCTTATATAACCTAGTAAGAACTAGATTATGTTATTTCAGTGTAATATCTTTTAGCAGCCATACCTAATTAAAGAAATTTTATTGATATATATCTTCCATTACTCAAAAGATCAGATTTTATAATAATTCTTTTGCCTTATAATAGTGGGAGGGTTTTAAGAGTAGTAAGGATCCTTGTTGATTGTGATATTCTTTAACAACTTCTGGAAAAATGTATTCTCAACTATAATTAAAGAATTGGAGCTTAGCATGGACTAGAGAACATTCAGTCTTATTGCTTGATCAGAATAAAAAGAAGACCTTGGTATTGAACTTTGCCTGACCAGAATGATAGGAAAGAAAGATCTCAGCTTGAATGAATAGTAGCTTTTTCATCACTTGGAAACTTGTTGCTCATATCTTATTGACTTTATAGAACTTGATCTGTAGGTTAATCAATTGGAGGAGTAGGTAGATATAGGATACCAATTAACTCTTTCTATCATCAATAACATTAGTGAAACATGTGAGGTAACCAATAGGAGCTTATTTACATTCTGTTATTAACATATTTTGTATCAACCAATTAAATGCCAGGTGACATTATGCTACTAGAAATTTAGGGTCAAACTGAGGTAGGCAAAAAAACTGAAAAATAGTAGACACTTTAAGAGGATATAAGATAATATGTGATAAAGTGAATAATAAGTTTTTTCCTATCAACAAAACCTCTATTTCTTGTCACTTCTAGCTCTATAAGATGACACTTCACTTGTCAGTTCTTTTACTTCCTAAAACCTTCTTGCCCTTAGTAAAGAAAGTGCATACTTAAGTTTTTTCAGGCTACTAGAGACTCAAGTTTTTATTCAAATGAGTTTATAAATAAGTAAAGGAGGATAAAAGAAATACATAAAGACAAGTTTCAAGTTTCTTTAATAAAAATATAAAGACTTTATTAGCAAAAAAGTATAAAACTTTTTGCAAACATCTTTTTTACACAGTTGCTTCCAAAAGTTTGAGTCCACCTACTATATTTTTATTATAAATTTCAACTTTGATAATTTTTAAATCCTTAAATATATAATCAAAAATTATAAAATTCATATATTGTATATTATATCTTAATACTAGTTTTATTTATTATATTTTTTCAAAAATTTTTGATATATAATTTTTAAAGTTTCATTATTGTTAAAAAATTTCTTTCTTTATTAAATTTTTATATTTGGAGAATTTTGATTGGCTGTTATCATAAATCATATGATAATTAATAAAAAAATAAAGATATTTAGCAATAATAAAACTTTAGAATGTATTAATAAAAAATTTTTTTAAAAAATATATGAATTTTTTTTTTTTTATTAAGGAAATAACAGGCATAGTCTCATATATTGAAAATTACACATGTGACAAGGAGTTCCAGTTATATACAGCACGCACCTGGTTATATACATTTGTGAAGAATATGACACGAACTTGTTGTCTGTTGCAGTGTAGACTAATGCGGACTCATTTTCAGGTTGTTAGCCTGCCAATGTGGCTTGTTGCCAGAAGAAACCCTACTACCCTACTAACTATATCTGTATTACCCTTCAGAAACCTTCACAAATAATGCTCTACAGGCCCCGGGGTCTGTAATACAGGACCCTTTTCATATCTCGTCCTGCCTGGTATTCTTTTTACAATACCTATTATAGTATGCTTATGGAATATCCACATGGAGTCTTAGATATCATCTCATCTCGCCGGTGACCCTTTTTACATGACCTATTATAGCCTGCCTATGGGGTGACCACGTGGAGTCTTGGATGGATTGCGATTTTGGTAGAGACTCTCTTTTAACTAACGTGCCTAAGCTCCATTAATCCCTTCTTAATGGCATGCAGATCTTTGACCTATCTGCAGGAGCTTGTTAGAACCTGTCTTGTGACAAGGTGACTTCAGCACTAAAACTGGCTGAAACATCTTATGATCTTTTGATTATCTTGTGATCAGACAGGATCTTAGCCAGAGGTGGCAGTGATCATCATCATGGGGCAGATGTAATCTTTCTGTATCACCTAGGCTTAGGTGGTATTGCCTCGCAGTGATATTGAACTTGGAAACAATGTATGGAGACCTAGGAGTGCTACCACTGTGCTATAGATTCACAGGTCAAAATATAAGAAATAGAATAAGCATTGAGATATAATATATATAAATTTTATAATTTTTGACTGTATAGTTAAGGATTTAAAAATTGTCAAGATTGAAATTTATAATAAAAACATAGTAAGTGGACTCAAACTTTTGGAAGCAACCGTATGTGGTTAGAGGATTAGTGGAAAGAGTTATATTTTTATATCTCCCATAGTTTTTTTTATATTTTTATTAAATTAAAAAAATAAAACTTATACATTAATATATTTTAAGGATTTTTATAAACAAAAATTCAATAAATAATATAAATAAAAGATTAAATAAAAATGAATAAGTTTGACCTATGAATCAATAGCATTATAATAGTGCTCCTAGGTCATAATTACAAGGTCTATAGTATAATATTACTTAAGGATCAAAAATTAAAAATTACCTTCTGATTAGGTTTTACTAATTATTCTATAAAAGTTGTATCCAATTATCTGAAACAAGATTCAATCAGGTTAGGCTGCAGAAAGATAAAACTTCTAGTCTTCTATCGATCAGGGATTGAGATTTACAGTTGTATTACTAGAAGAATTGTATAAAGAAAAGTTTTTGGTCTAGCCTACCATAGATGTCCTCAAGATCCCCTATCCTGACAGTCTCTAAAACCCCACTCTCCTAGTTTAGAATATCCCAATCTGATATTCTACTTAATTGAAAATCAGTTAATAGGAACTGATCTAATACTACAAGTAGTAACAAAGAAGATAATGTACCCCCTTCTGAAATCTGAGCAAATAATATTTAAGAATATTGGAAGGTATAAAATATTCTATCAGGTACATATAAAAAGAACTAGCTTAGTAAAACAATAACAAACAAAAATTAACAAGCGTAATATTAAATAACCTAATTATGCCATTGATAATTATGTATTAATTATCTAGTTTTTAATTAGGTCTACCCATTCAAGGAGTGGTAGCTGGTTTAACTAGGACAAACCATAATAGGTTATCATTAATCTGCATGTATATAGTTTGTATAAGATAATTGATATCATGCTACGGATTTAGTTATTTATCAAATATTAAGTTAATTCTTAATAAAGCCCACATCTAATACCAGTTATGATTAAAAAAAATAAAATAAAAATGAATAAATTTTTTAAATGCTAAGAAAAGAAAATATTTTAATTAGATATTTTTTATTGAAAAAAAATTCTAGAATATAGATTTTTTAAAAAAATTAAATAATTTTTTTTTTATTTTTTTATTTTTATTTTCTTGTAAATATATTTGTATATTTTTAGATTTTTTTTTTCTTTTTTTCAATCCACCTCTTGTATAATTTCCTGCATTTCAATGGCTTAATAGGATAATTGGCAGTGACAACCTGCTAATTATATAATTTAAAAGGTTATCTATTTAAAGACTATTATGAAATAATAAATTGTTTTCAAAATCAAACTTAAAGACTTTTATACTTATAATAAGATAATTAGATTCGTATTTATATTTAATTGTAGTATGTACCATGCTGCTAAAATGAATATATACTTATGTATTCTTTTGATTATAAACTTCCAATTTAGCCTGGCTATAGATAATTCACAAAAAAAAAAAAAAAAAAGAATATCTAACCCGAATTAACTAAATCTAGCCGAATCCGATTAATTCCAACCAACTCAACCAGAATTAATTGATTTTAGCCAGAATTATAGAAATTAAGTCACGAGTACATTTATAGTGGGCATATGCACTATTTAGAGAGAAAAGTTAAAGTAATATTGCCCAATTTGGGACTTCGTTTAAACGTACATTCAAAGAGGGCATGCATTTAGTGAGGGTTTACTATACCATATTTGTTAAATAATTTATTCTTATACTCGAGCTTTTGATTTAATGCCGCGACATCACCTTTAAGATCAGTCAAAAAAAGATGTCTTTTATTAATGTACAGCACTGCTAACAAATATAATAGCAATCTACAAGGGTGAGATGAATTTATCAATTCTTTGTACTATACATTTCTTGTTCACGAAAAATCATGCGACAAATGCTGATACAATGATATGTAACTTTACAGGACTGCAATATATAGTATTTACATTTCGTCATTCGTATTCTTATGAATGAAATGATCACTCAGCATTATTGAAAGTTGATTCTAGGAAAATTCATAAAAAATTGAATTAATGATAGGGAAAAATAACAAAAATATGTCTCACAAGTTACTCACCAGCGTTCAAATATTCTTCGTTTTCTATGTGCTTAAAAGTTTCATTATATTTATTTTTCGCCCAACTCTTAGCGTCAATCCACTTGTTCGTGCCTTTTCTCGACATTTCTTCCATGTGTGTCGGGGCAACTTTCCAGATTCCCACCCAAAGAAACTTCAATACCATTAGCGCAATCAAACTACCCCAAACAGTATATTCACCCCACGAGGCGTATATGGTTCGAATTTTTTCTTCAGATAAGGGCAAATCCCAATCCAATAATTGTAATCTATCGGTTTTTGAGGATATCTGAACATTACGAACGAGACCTAATGGATCCATCAATCCACTTGCTCCACCACCATCGCATCTCAGAATCCAAAAACCATTCTCAATGGCACGAATAGAAGCCATTCGTAAGTGTTGGAGACCAATATGCGAGCTCCATGTTTGGGAAGGCTGTAACATTAAGGCTGCCGCCGAAGCAGTGGCGATCAATTCTGGAAAGTCCATATCCAGGCATATTGCAGCGGATACATCTAATGAAACTTTAATTTTGTTTTGTTTTGGAAGAGTTATGTTCGCAACAGGTAATTGACCTCCTGGACCACTTTCGACTATTCGCGACTCGGCCAAAGGTACTGGATGTGTTTTCTGGTAATCGAATATTTTTTCTCCGTCGGGACCAATCAAAGTAAACATATTTTTTTTTCTATCACTTCTTTCTGAGGGTAAGAAATATGTCAAACCCAAATAATAGCGATGTTTTTTTGTCTCGTTGCCTGCCAATTCCAAAAATTTATCTAATTCATTACGCCTAATATCGATCGCCGATTCCCCCCATAGGACAATTTTCGAAGAACGAGCTGCTAGGGTGGCAGACCCTTTGATCATTGATGTCACGTCGGCGTCTTTCGTGGGAAGGACGCATCCCACCTTAACTGTATTAATGGGATCAGAATTGTCCTCAATATTGTATAGTCTCAAATTTCCCCAGATCATCAACGCCAATATACCGAATAACAAAATTAAACGAAGATAGAAGTTTTGTAAGAATTGCTTTTCGATAAGAATATTTCGTTTGTTACCAACATTAGTATTGGTGGTGGAGAGTAGTGGCGCTGCTTCTTCGTCTACATCTATTAGATTTCCAACTCTATCATGTATATGCTGCATCCCGTGTCTGTATATCACATAATCAACAATGACTTGGGCAATGAATGCTAAGATAAAATTGATTGCGCTTAGGCCACCAATACTTGCAATTTGCATCAGTGAATCTCCCGCATAACCACTGTTATCAATAGTATAGGCCCAGTCTCCCCACGATCCCACCGAAATTATTGAGAACCAACGTCGAAAGGATGACCAAGTAAGGGTCCATATAACAGGGAATATAAACATTTTTAATGTGTAATGATTGTGAAAAAAACCCCATTTCATGTTTGTAGATTTGACAAGAAATTTCGTCAACACCATAGGTAATAATGTAAAGAAGGAAATCAGACAACCAATTATTAACAAAACGAAAAAATTATCAAAATTGCTTCCCATGGGTGAATTCGACGGTTCCTGATAGGCAAGGGTTGCGCCTATCGCGACTGTAAAAAACAATCCTATATTAACATCTAGAGGTGATGTACGAACGAGAAGGAAGATTAAAGGAAGATTTACGAATGGTAATATTGGTATGGGTGAAGCACCCAAACCGAACCAGGATAATATGAAGACAAGTAAATATAGGGGAGAAAAGATAAACGCATGTTTTAAGACCGTTAATAAATTGAACATGATTTTCTTTGAAAAAAAAAAAAAGGAATTATCAGAGGGTATAAATCAATTGGCTTCTTTAAATACGTAATTATGATTATGTAAGTGAATTTAGCATAAGATGCTCGAGACCTAAAACTACTGCATTAAATATCTTTTGGAAAGTCAATCAGACAGTGTATCAAGCTTCCCGCAGCAGGATTTTGTGACTACTGCATTTGGAAAGTCGTGTATCAAGCTTCCCGCAGCAGGGTTTTGTGACTAATTAAGGAAAAAGTTGTTTTTCCGACTAGATATACAGTATATGTACGTATGTGCTTACCTTGGACTTTTATTGTGCAATTTTCTCAAGCACTTGGCAAACCGGTAGTGGTTGTATCAGGTATATGTGACACAAAGGACTGTGTAAATGATGCGATGGTGTGGCCTAAGAGTTTTGCACGCGGGTACCCTTATGTACTATAGTGCAATGATAATGGTTCTTTATTCTTTCGCCAAATTAGCCCAAAACATGGCCTATCGCACCGAAGGAATGTCTTGCAGTATTTATCTCGCGTTTCGTACAATGCTATAGGATATACGGTATATTACTTGAGATTATTTGCTTCTATAAGTCCAAGTTTCTTTAACCTCCCTTGTCTTCCTCTTGCTATCTGTAAAAAAGAATAACATTACAATATTAATTTTCTAGTATTTTAAGGGTATACATTGATCAATTTTTATATGCTTAATATTTTGAAATTTTGTAGAGTCGAACAAACTAAAGTCAAACATGTGCATTAACAAAAGATATCTGTTTTTGTTTGATTTAAAAGAAAAGATTTTACGACTTGAAAATATCTTATTATAAAAATATTATAAAAAGAAAACTATAACAATACATTGTTAAAATTATAGATGATTAGAAAACTTGTATCAAAAATTGTTACAAAATAATGGAGAAAAATTAATTGTTAATAATTATAACAATAGTAATATTGCAAAAAAAACCCCCCGATTCAAACAATAAAGTAAAAATTTATATTAAAGAAATCAAAAATATATTATATAAATAAATAAATTTATTATTATTATTGACTCTTATAAAAAGATCAGTATTTTTATTATATCTTTATAATCCAAGTTATTTATTTTTTTTTTAAACCCATGGTTAGGCCAGTACTGTGTGTTTATTAATCATTAAAAAATCTGATTGAGATACATAGGACAATTGCATCATGTCTAAACTAAAAGACTCATATTGACACACCCATCAATGGCTTTCAATTCTCAAAAGAGCTTCAGCCTCTAAGTGCAATCTTGGGAACAATATTTTACTTTGAACTAAGTTTCAGGTGAAGACCCTCCTAACTTACCCATCATTGTTAGCAAGTTGTTATTACTTATTATTCTTCAAGAAACTGAATTCAAGAAACTACAAAAGAAAAAAAATAAAATAAAAGGAAGTGAAATATCTAAAAAATACATAACTGTGCTACATGAAAATAAAAAGAAAAAATAAAAAATAAAAGTGCACCATGTCCTCCAAAGGATCTTTGCTGGAAACCTCTCCTCATTAGGAGTCTACACTTCTAGAATATCCTTTTTTTTCCTGACTGTCTGAGGAACTTATCTATCCATACTTTTGATTATTTTCTTGTAACTATCTAAGATACTTATCGTCTACTCGGATCTAGTATCTTGCTTAACACTTCCTTTCTTTCAGTTTTAATTTTGTATTCACCTGTGCAAAAGAAGATGACTAATAGTGGACTCCAGGTTTTTATATGATTTTTCAGTCTTGTTGAGTAATTCCTGATATCTTTCAGCAGCTACACTTAGTTAAAGAAATTTTACTAATATTCATTTTAATTGTAATATTATTATACAATGTCTGAAAAAATGCATTCTCAATCCTAGAGAAGAGCAGTATTTTACATTCTTCTACTTTTTAGTTTTACAGCCTGATCAGGATAAGGAAATAATCTTCTTCTTATACTTTGCCTAATTGGGATGATAAGAAGTTGAAAGTCTTGGCTTGAACAAATAATCATCTTTTTACCACCTAGAGAATTTAGTGTCCATTCTAATAAACTCATTATTTCTTTACTTCAGTTAAACTTCATTTGAAGAAGTGGAAGAATTTATATTCTTGATTTTTCTTTCTATTACCAATGACATCATCAGAACACGTGAGGTGATCAATAAAAGCTTGTTTATATTCAGCTACTAATATATTTCATATCAGTCAATCAGATACTAGAAAATATTATGCTATTAAAAATTCAAGGTCAAACTGAGATAGGCAAAATCCCTCAAGAAAATCATGAAAATTAGTAAACACTTTAATCCAAGTTATTTTTTTTTTTGAGTACCCGTAGCCAGGCTATATTGTCAGTTTATTAATCAAATTAAGACAAAAGTACATTTTCATTCGAGCAGCATGATACATACTATAGCTAAACTATTATTCTAATCTAACTAACTCGTCATAAGCATAAAAGCCTCT